GAAAGCAAAGGTATTCTCCTGATCATTCGCTTCCAACTCCACTTCAATTGCTGATCCTATTTCTTGATCTTCACCCCCACACAGTGCTATCTCACCAAACGCATCAGAGGATACAGATTGACGCTACGCAAGATGCAGTCAGATGATCTGCGGTTGGTCTATCGCCTGTCAAAGAGGGTAACTAATCTTTGGAACGCCGTACTGGAGGATGTGTTGGAAGAGGCAAATGACGGTACCGAAATGGGACAAAACCACGTAAGAGCACTGGAATCGCAACATATAGCCAGTCCAGTGAAGCATAATGTGATGGGGCTAACATGGGAGAACTTCCGCTTCCCTTCAAACTTGAAGAGCATCCCATCTCCGGAAAAATACCATTATTTTCCCATTCTATTGCTCGGCGACCGTTCCGATCACATACCATTTCTTTTACTCCCTAACTTATAAAGTCTTTGAAACCAATCTCTCCGACGAGGTGCGCGTTTTCCTCAAACGCGAAGGTTTCCTAATCGAATATCAATATGGATTTTACCGTCTTAGTTTAATGGACTCATTGGTTTCAGTCTCGTGTTTTGGACCAAGGAGGGACTTCTTTGAGTTCGCTTGAAATTTCAAAGGCGCGAAATTTCATTGTTGAAACTACGCACGTACGGATTTCACTCCGCTATTATATGGTGGCTATCACGTTTCTTCAACAAACTAAACAACTCTATTCGAGTGGACGAAATTCAGTCCCTACCGTTCAAAATGAATGCTGATGTTCTTTAGGTTGTATATCTACACCCATCTTGCTTGTTCTGATTACTAATAACCCCATTAAGACTGATAGAAGACAAAGGTTGCGAGATGTTAACATTTCGTTTGGTCTTCACGATCGCTGACGTAAAACAAATAAGCACATTGGATCTATAACTCCTAGTGAACAGACATGTAAATGATTTAAAATCCAATATGCTATAAATGTGCTTGTATGTTTCACATCAGCGATTGGGACTAAACAAAACATTAACATCTCGCGATATACGTCTTCTTTAGGTCATGATGCGACGAATAAAGGAGACCCAGTGCTTCATAGTGATGACCTGTCTAAAACATCAAATCGGACTCACTGCTTCGCCAACGACTTAACTCTATTTTTTTCTTTCTTATCCATGAAAACCGCCAAACCCCCATCAATGCCGGTCATAATTGGACAGCAAATGGTGCATCACTTGTTTCGGATCTTGGTCTTATCTCTGCATCTTACATCAATTTCATGCGTCTCAGTACCTGCAATATTTCTATCCTGTCAGCCTCTATGAACTACGATTTTTTTCCTCTATTGAAATATGACTCGTATTCTCACTCATTACCTTTAACCATTGATTACGAAGATTTTAATGTCCCCATCCAGGAAGCCTCGTCTGACGGCGATCGGTGAAGGTCACTTTATTGTACTACGCTGTACAATGAGGATGATGATGATGGCTAGGGCTTTCATATCCTCATGCCAGTAATTACCTGGCGAATACATTCCCATTGCATAGTTAAAGCACTGGAGATGTAAAAGCACACCACAGCGAGAAACCGACGGATTCGACACTTCGTCATCAAGCCAGGGGTGCTTATTTTAGTTTTCCGTTTTTACAACCAATAATATATACTTTCATGCGCCAGTTTTAATTGCTGTTTTTGGCAGCCCATTTAGACAACAGGGCAGAATGCAGATTGGAACGTTGAGACCGAATTCAAGGAGAAGATAGAGAATTCATATAGACTGAGGTTGCAAGAATGAAAAGTAGATGCGCTAGCGCCACTGTTGGCGACGCCCAGCCATACCATTCAGCTTCTCTAACCCCCCCCCCCCTGACCATGATATCGCGGTCCCCACTCAGGGAGCCTCACGGTATCTATGTGACCCGGTGTCCTGGTTAGGGTTCTCATACCCTCATGCCAAGTCTTAGTTTGACCGCCCTTGACCTTTTTTCAACCGTTACCTGCCTCGAAAAACATCGCTTGCCGAAGCAACCTATTTCGTGGTATGCGCAGCACATGTTCCAACCAGCGTAATCTATGGAGATCGATCACTCGCTCCAGTGGACGACCGCCATTGCCTAAAACCTTACGCCTAACCTCAGCATTGCTCATCCGGTTACCCCACCAGACTCGTGCAACGTGACGTAGACAGCGGTGTTCGAATACCGAAAATTTATTTTTATCATGTTCACGTAGTGAACAAATCTCTGCACCGTATTGCGACGGCGCCACAGATATCTCAACTTGACAGATGGTAACCGAGCCCTCTGTATGCGTGCCGACACTTCATCTGTGACGCGTCCACCAGGTGAAATATAGCTGCCCAGATAGCACAATGTTTCTACCTTTCTTATTAATTCCCCAGTCATGGTGAGATAAGAGGATGGACCAACCCAAAGTTGTAGTAACATTTTCCGCTTTGATTACGCTGGTTGTGACATGTGCTACGCATGTCATCAGATAGGTTACCACGGCGAACGATGTTTGGCGAGGCGGGTAGCGGTTGGAAAAAAATGAAGGGCAGTCAAGCTAAGACATGGCATAAGGATATGAAAACCCTGACCAGGAGACTGGCTCACATAGGTCCCGTTAGGCTCCCTGGCTGGGTATCGCAAACAGTGGCGCTCAAGCATCTACTCATTATTCTTGTACCGTCGGTCCATGAAAATTGCTACCTTCCGCTTAAATCTGCTCTCAACATTCTAATCATCATTCTGCAATTTTATCCAAATGGGTAACCAAAACTGGCGCACGAAAGTGCATGGTTAATGGTTGTAAGAACTGAACTGAACTGAACTGAACACTTTGAAGGTTCAAAACCCATACGAACATAGACAGCACTCAAACTATCCAGAAAAGCTGGTAACTTATGTGGATATTCAATTAATAGCACAATA